ACAACAAACAAGTTTTACGTTTTACATAAAAACGTACTTCCTTTAATTATTTAGGGCAGATAAGAGTCAATTAACATAGTTTTCCAAACAGAAATATTTTTATAAAATCTATTTTTATCGTGCCAATTATTAATTTCATATAATGGGATCCTAACATTTGTAAACGTTTTGATTTGGGATGGATAAATATTTAATGTTTTTAATAATAATTCTTTGGGGTTTTATTTTTCAAATACGAGACTTACGAGTTTCATTAAAGTTTTTAGATTTAAAACTGTATTGAAAAATTATAGTGAATAAAGACTTACATTGCACGTTAAGAAACTATTATTATCAATAGGGCGAAAATTAATGTCTATATTTCATAATTATATCTTAAAAGAATTATAAATTTTACCTGCCGTGGAAAGGTTTTGTGATTTAAATATACTTTGCGAGCTATTATGTGAGTCATAAAGTTCCCATTTTCGAATGTGAATTATTTGAAGTTTATAATTATGCCCCAGATATTCTAGAAGAAGGAAATATTTCCGGTATTTCTAACGGCTGTTGAAGTTTTTTGAGTTTCTCTGTGATTCATACTGCAAAGCTCAAAGTGCCTAATACTCTGATTATTTTATATTTATATGTGAGTCATATCAGCTGTCGAAGTATTGAAACATATGGGTTTTTTAATTTCCTTGTTCATTTGAACTGCAGAAACTCTTCGGTTATAGGAATAGTTTCACCTTACAAACGTCAGTAATGATATGCTTAATAAGCCAGGAAACAATTGCGAGGAACTGTCAACTACAAACTTGCCGTTAGCATATTGGAGTTTTATTTTTATCATTGCCAGCTTTCTGTACTATACATTTGTGTATTTCGTGGAAACTTGACGCAGTATTTGTATGAGCTCTTATGGCAAAAAAGAAACATACACAATAAAAACGAGTCAGTCATAGAAAAGATAACATCATACATTACCGATACATTGATAGGCTAGTATAAATTATATATCTTGAAGTTTATTAGATACATATTTTCAAAAATAGCGTAACTAAAAATTGCTCCACACACACAACAAATAAAACATGATTGATTAAAGCCGAAAGATTGGCCATGAAGGGCTTAACTATATTGACTTTTGACAATAACTAAATAGGAATATGAGATTATACTGGTCAGTGTTCTTGTTCGCATCAACTGAGCAGTTTTAGAAACGGTGAACTTATACAAGTTAGTGTTCCTATCCACATCAACTGAGTAGCTATGGAAACAATGGTGTATACGTTAGTGTTCTTGTTCGTAACAGCTGAGTAAACATAGAAACGGCGAGTTTCTGGAGGATAGCGCTCTTGTTCAGATCTTAGTAGCTATAAGAACGGCCATATTACATTGAATAGTTTGTTATTTTTTAGAGCAAAGCCACATTGGGCTATCTATTGTGTTCACAGCGGGAAATCGAACTCCGAATTTTAGCGTTGTAAGTCCGTAAACTTACCGCTGTACCACCGGGGGGGGGGGGACGTATACAGTGAATAGTGTTATTCTTCACAACAACTGAGTAGCTATGGGAACAGTGAAAATATAAAGTTCAAAACAGAATGTCGAGACTTTATCATTTAAATAATTTATTCCACTTTTTCCAGACAACGCTATTTCTAAATGTTTAGTTCGCCGGTGGGACAGCCGTAAGTCTACAGACTTCCAATGCTAAAATTCGAGGTTCTATTCCCCGCGGTTGACATAGAAAATAACCCAATAAACATTTTAAATGATAGAGTAGAATTCGGGACTCGATTCCTCCACAGTCGATACAGTAGATAGCCCAATGTGGCTTTAACTCACACAACACACAGCTTTTATGTATTTATATATATATATCAACGTATCTATGGAAAAACACAAGGTTAACATTTTTTATACACTACAACGAAAATACAATCGTGTACGATGGTTTTTAATATTTCAAATAACAACTTTGGAAGCACTTCGTTGATACTGTTATACCTTGTCGAGAACATTCCGTGGAACAAGTCATTTATTACATTAGAACGAACTTAACTTTGTATGATTATATTGAAATAGAATTTTCTGGGTTTCAGGAAGCCAAGGACGGAACAGTTGCATTATTGCTTACTTGCCAAAACTCTAATTGAATAAAACATACACTACAGGTCAAAAGTTTGGAAGTGGGTAAAGTGTGGAGAGCTGTATAACTGGGTAGGGTGTGAAAAGCTCTACGGCCAGGGAGAGTATGGAAGGCCACACCCTACCCACTTGTACAGCCTTCCATACTCTCCCTGGCCGTATAGCTTTTCACACCCTACCCACTTGTACAGAAAGCTCTACGGCCAGGGAGAGTATGGAAGGCTGTACAAGTGGGTAGGGTGTAGAGAGCTGTACCAGTGGATAGAGTGTGGAAAGCTTTATAACTGGGTAGGATGTAGAAAGCTGTAGAGCTGGGTAGAATGAGTGTGTTGGCTGATAAGTCAACTTAGAATACTTGCACATTAAACATGTTGGTTTCACTGAACAGATAAAAGTTTTATTTTCAAGTTATGTAAACAATTTTATCGAGCAGTGTGTAATGCAATAACACACCAAATATGATGCACTAAAACAATTATGCTATAATTATTATTTTTTTTAATTTCACTGTCATAAATAATTGCCTAGTAAATTCTGCAATGTATATAAAAATGCAGTCAGTATTCCAACGCTTAAGGCGCCATATATTTGGCGGGAAACATGATTTTTGGGGAGAAAGGGAGAGCGAATATTCTGCTCCGTCTTACGGCAGTAAAAGTATCATATTTGAGAACCGACTTAAATTTCGGGAAAGATTGTACTTTAAAACTTTTTAGAAAACTAAAGTAATTTTCTATTCAGGAAAACCAATATATTTAATATTCAAATACCTTAAGTTCATTTATCAGGCACTACGCACATCCTCCACAGTTTACAGTTTTTTATACCCTACCCAGTTGTACAGTTTTCCACATCCTTTCTATCCACCCTACCCAGCTGTACAGCATTCCACACTCACCCTACCTACTTGTACAGCTCTCTACACTCTACCTAGTTGTACCTCTTTCCATACCCTACCCAGTTGTACAGATTTCCTCACCCTACCCACAGTACAGCTTTCCTAATAAAGTGAGGACATAGTGGGCGGCAAGTAAATTTATTACAGAGCTTTACTATCAATATTTTTAGTATCGTTTTAAAAAGAAAACAGTTAACTGCTGAAGGATAAAAGAGTTTAGTAATTTAACGATGAAGACGAGAAGAATTAAGAGTATTGTCTCCCAAGAGACTTATGTGATAATATTCTTTAAAACAATTCGTGTTTTGGATTTTTTAACGTGTTTTTTTACAATTCATGTATCAAAAACAAAATTGTCTGATCGTATAAAATTACTATCGATGATTCTTACTCTCTATTTCATTACATTTCTTCTAATTCCTGGAAATTTAGAAGATCTTGCCATCCGAGTGAGGTAAAAAAAAGAACATTCTTCTCGAGAGACTGCTATCATACACTCCTAAAAACGTTAAAAAGCTTACTAATATCTCAGCAAGTTCACATTTTAAAACTCAGTTAAAAAAAAAAAGGTGAGCCACAAGTATCTGGTTATTCCCAAGTCACACTACAAATAATTATGATTGAATCTTTTTGATAGTTCTTTTGTCAGTAATTCAAGGAAATATCCTATGTATACTTATATTAGTAAATTACATAAAAATATAACATATCTTTAAAAACAAAACTGCATGTAAATAGTTTTGTTCTTCAACTATATTTTTGTATGTAACAAGTGAAATTTACTGTAATTTTAAGATTAAGTTACGCCCGTCTGAAAGGTAAAAGGTAGAAGTAAAACAATTAATATAAGTAGATGTTCAAGTCACAGTTTATTTATTTTTTACACTTAGGAGCGTTTTTCTACCTTAGAGTTAAAAATGTAAATTGATAAATGTATATTTAAGTTCAAGTTGACATCTGTTCTTTAATAGGGAAGTACGATATCAAAAGCTTGCTGCTGAGGTGGCGACAGGTGAACCAAAAAGACCTATGTCTCATCATTCCTGAGCTGACCCTTCCAGAGCATTCTTTGGACAAGGATAGCGTCATCTGTACTGAAAATAATAAGAACTACGATACAGCGGGTATTTTTTATCTCTATAAACTAATTACACTCTAATAAAACGTTGATTTCTGTGAAACATAAATATGTTGTTTCAATGGTTACAACACAAGTTCAAGTTAAAAACGACACAGTCAATGTGGGTTAACAAAGTATAATATGAATGTGTTGGCTGTTGCAAAATATCTATATTGAATTTTTTATAGTCAACACACACATAATGATATTAATATATTAAGGCAATTAATAACGTAAATTAAAAGTCAGTTGATAAAAACAATATTTTAAAAATTATCTCGGGTGAAAAGCGAATCAATTCAACCATGTTCTATTCTGAACGTATAAACCAGAACTCGTCGAAAAATTTTATTTAAAAAGACAACAATGTATTTAAAATAATACAATTTTAAATTGAAAACCGTACGGGTTTTTGTGTTCTTAGAAAACACGAGAAACTTGTATGATTATATCACTACAAGTTAATCTTCACCCTAAATTACTTACTTTTCAAAACACAGATAAAGGTACTTAAAAATAAATATCTTGATTCTCTGTTATCCGTCACACATGTGGTAAATCAAACTTGTTAGGTTCTTGTAATATGAACGTAAAAAACAAAACAAAAAGGCAAAAGCTGATAAATATTTGAGACTTATTTGTTTGAAATATTTCAAAACAATCATTCCAGTAACCATTAGTGGGATTAATCACAATATCTTTAGGTATGACTCGTATGTTTTTAGAGACTTTTTAATCTAACAAAGTCATATTCCAAAACAATCATTCCAGTAACCATTAGTGGGATTAATCACAATATCTTTAGGTATGACTCGTATGTTTTTAGAGACTTTTTAACCTAACAAAGTCATATTCCAAAACAATCATTCCAGTAACCATTAGTGGGATTAATCACAATATCTTTAGGTATGACTCGTATGTTTTTAGAGACTTTTTAACCTAACAAAGTCATAGACCCATAAGTAATTAGGCGAATAAATAGTTTAGAAAAAAAAGAGATTAAATCCGATTTAAAACTCTCATTGGAAATTCTAGGGTTAAGTACGTTTCAAGAATATTATTCTCTTTGGTGATTCCATATACACTCATAGATTTTGTTAAAATTATTCGGGCTCCTAGTGGCTCAGAGGTAAGTCTGAAGGTTTATAACGCTAAAGTCCGGATTTAGATACCCGTGGTGGGCACAACACAGATAGCGCATTGTGTACCTTTGCGTTTATAACAACAAATAAACAAACGCACATTATTCAGCAGATCCTTAGTGTATATTTTTTGTGTTATTGAATCATTGGGCTGATCAATCACCTTGAAAATAATATTGATTTTTTTATTTAGTTATTTCATTTTTGAAGCTTATTAAAAACGGAGAAAGAAACATAACCATCTTGTATTTTCATTGTTTACCATTTGTTTAATGTCAGATCATAAGTATTATTGTTTAACATTTGTTTAATGTGAAATCATAAGCACCATTGTTTGCAATTTGTTTAATGTCAGACAATAAGCATCATTACTTGCCATTTGTTTAATGTCAGATTAGAAGCATAATTTTTCCCATTTCTTTAATGTCAGACCATAAGCATCGTGTTTACCATTTGTTTAATGCCAGATCATAAGCAGCATTGTTTACCATTTGTTTAATGCCAGATCATAAGCAGCATAATTTACTATTTTTTTAACGCCAGATAATAAGCAGCATTGTTTACCATTTGTTTAATGCCAGATCAGAAGCAACATTGTTTACATTTTTTTAACGCCAGATCATAAGCAGCATTGTTTACCATTTGTTTAATGCCAGATCAAAAGCATAATTGTTTACCATTTTTAACGCCAGATCATAAGCAGCATTGTTTACCATTTGTTTAATGCCAGATCATAAGCAGCATTGTTTACCATTTTTTAACGCCAGATCATAAGCAGCATTATTTACCATTTATTTAATGCCAGATCAGAAGCATCATTGTTTACTATTTGTTTAATGTCAGATCAGAAGCATCATTGCGGTACTTTTCAGAAGTGCTTTGTGAACCTATTGGTTATGAAATTTACAGCAAAAGTTCATAGCAGTTTTTCTAATATAGTCAAAAGACTAGTTACTAGATTTCGCTCTTGCATGTGTAGCATTGTATTTTAGTCGGTTTAAAGTGTCACACCTAACTGAGCTTATAAAACATTAAAATTACATTATTACTGATTATTCAAACTACCTGTGAACATGCTATTATACCTTGAACTTTGATAATCATAGAACCCCTTATCTGATCTATTAACAATAACAAAAATCTGTACAAGAAATATATCCGCGGTGTTCAATGTGCTGAAAGTTGGGATTTTCACTGAGTAAGTCTCTCTTTACCTGGTATAAACATTGGTAAGTACAATTAATTTTTTGAATAGTTCCATTGTGTGTGGCATGATTCTTAATGATGCCCTGTACAGACTTTATTCCATACTAGTAAATACTCTTTGTTAATACCACAAGCGACAGTTGGTGATTGTAGTAGATTGGTGTTAATTCTCGGTTATCACCCTTTTACTTAAAAAACTGTTCGACATCAAAGATTGTTTTTGTTTGCGAAAATGATTGCTCATACACGGATCTTTGTAAGCTATTTTTCACATTTTGTATAACCAGGAGGATACAGTGGCTTGATAGCGACATTCAGTCTACGCCGAGAGTTCAGCTATTATATGATTGAAGTTTATGTGCCAATCATGTTGCTGGTCATTGTATCTTGGATATCCTTCTGGTTGGACGTTCATGCTGTCCCTGCTCGTGTAGCTCTCGGGATCACCACCATTTTAACAGTCATCACTAATTCTAGAGGGGTCAAGGATTCTATTCCAAGGGTAAGAGGTCAAGTAACTGACCTTTCATGTATCATTTGTAGTTCGGCTAGTGTTTCACCATCCAAATAACAGAAATTTAGATAGTTTTGTGCAGGGTTTACAGTCGGTACCAGTACCGGTACCGGCGGTACTCGGCATCCAGTACCAGTACTGATTTATAGTATATCATATGTTGAGAATAATATCTGTTATCACATGTCCCATCTTCGGAGTTTTGACCGAACGCCTCCTCAGGTATTTCAGCTTCGTTTTTCACAGTATTTTAAATGTTTGACGTAGTAGTTTTGAGTTCATACTTCAGTCGTTAAGCGAATCTCACCGTGAAAATCGGCAATAGCATGAAATATGGGAAACTGGTAACTTCAACACTCTGGAAGAAAACGTGAATGTGCCTACATAACTGATTGCACTTTAGGTAGGTGCGTGCGTGATTAACCCTTAGCATGCGGGCAGTCAGACTGCGCATGTCACAACGTTTTAATGAGTTACATTCAAAATTTAATCAAACTACTTAATTGTCATGGTATACAAACATACTTGACAACAAACTATAGATAATAAATCAACTTTTAATATTATATAAGTTTTAAGTTCTTAATTATATAAGGAAATACTTAAAAACAAACTCAAATTCCCCTAGTGTGAGAATTTGGATATTTGTTCTTGAGCCATCTCCTCTTCTGGATTTTTTGTCCACCACCCTAGAAAACTACGAAATGCAACTTAAAATATTCTCTATAATTTCGTCATTGATATTCTGAACATATATTTTTATATTCTTCAATCTTATAGGGCTAAAGAGCAATCAATGAAAATTCAGAAACCACTTTCCACACCTACCTCTGACATGTTCTAGTTTACAATTTGCTAATAGATTTTTCTGAGGCTTGCTCCCATTAAATTTATAACCAATAGAAAGTTTAGATTTAAACTACTTCATTGCCATAGTTGTCATACCACGTGGGCTTACAGATAATTGATAATTTGGTTTGATGTGAAAATTTTTCCACGAGAATACACTGGGAAGAAAAGTTGAATTTCTCACATGATTAGAGATGCTCGAGTACCGGTACGGCAATCTGGTACCGCCGGTACTATTGGAAACCCTGGTTTTGTGTAGTAATTAGCGAGGGTATTGTGTGTTATTGTACATGCACGAAATAGATATTATGTTAAAATATACAATTATTAATTAAAATATATGATTAGTAGATGTATAACATATTTTACCTGTAATAATCTGTAGTATACATATACTTATATATGACTAAACGATGAGTTTATCCCATGCGATACTAGATGTTGAGTGTATAAACCCTATAATTTTTTGTTTGTTTACAGAGAACGTATAAGTGTTTGAATGACTTCTATCAAATTGGATTTAACTTGTTAATGGTCAAAAATTATTCTATAAGTATTCTAATCGGAGATGTTATCTTATAAAAAAGTTATCCCAAAAATTGAAGTTCGACGACTCAAAATTTGTTTTATGAATTCACCTGAAAGGAAAAAGGAGTTAGTCATAAACCAAGTAAAGTTACATTTATTGTAATGTTGTAAACTGAAGACTTGGTCAACCAAACTAGGCCCGGCATGGCCAGGTGGATAAGGCGCTCGACTCACAATCTGAGGGTCGCGGGTTCGAATCCGCATCCCACCAAACATGCTAGCCCTTTCAGCCATGGGGGCGTTATAATGTGACGGTCAATCCCACTATTCGTTGGTAAAAGAGTAGCCCAAGAGTTGGCGGTGGGTGGTGATGACTAGCTGCCTTCCCTCTAGTCTTACACTGCTAAATTAGGGACGGCTAGCGCAGATAGCCCTCGTGTAGCTTTGCGCGAAATTCCAAAACAAACAAACAAACAAACAACCAAACTAACATTTCTAGTGGATTTAGTAGATTGGTAGCCGAAACGTAAGATTAAAAACTAGTTAATTATTACTATGTAACACTAATAATAAAAAATAAGACTTATGTAATTGTATGATAACGTTGACTAAAGTATTTAAGACTTATGTAATTGTATGATAACGTTGACTAAAGTATTTAAGACTTATGTACTTGTATGATAACGTTGACTAAAGTATTTAAGACTTATGTACTTGTATGATAACGTTGACTAAAGTATTTAAGACTTATGTAATTGTATGATAACGTTGACTAATATATTTAAGACTTATGTAAGTGTATGATAACGTTGACAAAAGTATTTAAAACTTATGTAATTGTATGACAACGTTGACTAAAGTATTTAAGACTTATGTAATTGTATGACAACGTTGACTAAAGTATTTAAGACTTATGTAATTGTATGACAACGTTGACTAAAGTATTTAAGACTTATGTAATTGTATGATAACGTTGACTAAAGTATATTTTGCAATTTCTTTTTACTAGATGAACACTTCTCTTTCATAATAAATAGGGTTAAAGATTAGGTCAAATAACTTAAACAGACTAATATGACGTTACTTATACGGTTTTCGAGTTGTCCTTTCCTCACTTACATTCACATATGTAGGTATTTGAAGAACTTGTATCATTAGCGCCTCTAATTTATTCTTCTAAGTTATTTTGCGGACAAGGTATTTAAAATAATGTAATATTTTCCTCTCATCACCAGAAACATGAAGCATGAAGCCCAACTTGTATTCTACTTGCATTTGTTCAGGGTTAGATGAAGTGTGGAATTTTCGAAACCGGTCTAATTCAGAGACAAATGGTAAATCAAATGATAGACTTGCCACTGAGATATACCGGTTTCAGGGAATGCGTCCCTTGTCAATAATCCTGGACAAGGGGAAACCGAAAATGGGTTTCAGGGTATTTCTCTCTGAAATTACAGTTTTTGTTGCTGATCAAAACACACTATATTAACACAAAAATATTTATAAACTATCATTTACAGGTCTCGTACATCAAAGCTGTAGATGTGTGGAACCTAGGTTGTACTTTGTTGGTCTTCTGTGCTTTCTTGGAGTTCCCTCTTGTCAACTTCATCGCTAGAAAGGCGAGAATGAAGGCGGTGACAGAAATTGCACAAAATGGTGACAATAAAGGGCAGCTTCAGAAGGACGTTGACCTCAATCGAACTTTTCAGGTATGTGATATCACTGAGGTATTTGGTCACCTTCTGAGTGTACCATCCCTCGTTTTTACCAATTTTAACATTTAATTGGATCTATTTTATTAGCCGCGGCATAACGGCTCATGGAATGGCTTTGTTTTGTTTTAAAGGTACAAGCTTTTAGCTCATAGCTCCGTCATCTCTTGACCGATTTCAGATCTAATTACAGGTATGGACTCAGGAGGTCAAACACTTTCGATTGATGTATTTGACCACGCCCAAGGTCTCACAGAGTAATTTATTCTAATGCTGTCTAAAATAATTTCAATTTGAGGGTAGGCTGGTAGAGATCCTGATGAGTATAAAATTGAATCTGGTATACGCGCGCCCTACGTTTGGTTTCTTTGTTTGTAATTAAACACAAAGCTACACAATGGGCTATATGTGCTCTGCCCATATAAAAGTCTTATAGATTAATTTACTCTAATCCTGCCTAAAATAATTCAAGTGCCGCGGCTGTTGAAGATTCCTTCTCGTTTTTAGCCGCGGCATAGTGGCTCATAGAATGGCTCCGAGTTTGTATTTTTTCTTCAAGTAGAAACTTTTAGCTCATAGCTCCATCTCTTGACCTATTTGAGATCTAATTACAGCCGTGGCTAGTGAAGATTTTTTTTTCAAAACCTTTTTGAGTCTTTTTGGCCATTATTTGTATGTATTTCTTGCATAATAAAGTAAGAATACTCTTTCATGCTTTCTCTGTTATGCGTTGAAACGTGAACTTGGTTTTTGGTTGGAGGTTTTTACCTTAACCTTGATCTTAACTTCGCCTCCGTCATAACTAGAAGATTAAGCTAGTCATTCAAGCCTTCTTCAGAAGAAGAAAGTTCTTTGCAACTTTAGACGTGTAGTTAGGGTTATTACCACCTGAAAAATCTATTTTTTCACGACCATCGACTCCTCATCTATTAGGATCATTTTTTTTACAAAGCTGTTAAAAAGCCACCAATTCATAATGATATATTTTCTATTTGTGTGTTTTCAACTTAATATGTTTAAAAAAAATTCCAAACTTCAAGCTCAGTAATTGTTACGTCATTTATATATTAATGTTTATACTGTGTTCCATTAAGAATAAAGTCATTTGCGTGATTATTTAAATATGTTAAAGATTTCCACCAAAGGTGAGAGTGAAAAGAAAATCTGTATAGTGAAATATAAAGGACTCAAAAACCCCATAGATATTATATACACTTCACCGTTATAAAAGGTTAAAAACAGCGTTGTCTGTGATCAACAGTTCTACCACAAAGGTTCTGCCACTGATCGGTTATTTATTTAACGGTGATATCACAAGGTAGAATATATCTCAAGTAACCACATCAGTTTAAATAGATCTATCACAAAAGTTTTCAGTTTAAATAACTCTAACACAAAAGTTCTGCCACTGATCGGTTAATTTATTTTACGGTGATATCACAAGGTAGAATATATCTCAAGTATCCATATCAGTTTAAATAGCTCTATCACAAAAGTTCTGCCACTGATCGGTTAATTTATTTAACGGTGATATCACAAGGTAGAATATATCTCAAGTATCCATATCAGTTTAAATAGCTCTAACACAAAAGTTCTGCCACTGATTGGTTAATTTATTTAACGGTGATATCACAAGGTAGAATATATCTCAAGTAACCATATCAGTTTAAATAGATCAATCACAAAAGTTTTCAGTTTAAATAACTCTAACACAAAAGTTCTGCCACTGATCGGTTAATTTATTTAACGGTGATATCACAAGGTAGAATATATCTCAAGTAACCGTATCAGTTTAAATAGCTCTAACACAAAAGCTTTTCCAATGATCGGTTAGTTTATTTAACGGTGATATCA